TCTCTCTCTCTGCCTCTCTGTAACTCTGTCTTTCAAATAAATAAATCTTTTTAAAAACCCACAAAGAAGCACTACATCGAAGAAAACACAAAAATAATCCTTACATATGCATTAACCTATTTGACAGTAACAAAGAAGAAGAGGAGGAGGAGGAAGAATTATAAGAAGAAAAATTATAATTAGAAGAAGGAAAAGGAGGAGAAAGAAAAGAGAGAGCAAGAATAATAATAATGAATCTCTCCAGAGAGTACACCAGAAATCTCAGAGGAAAATGTAGATTGGTAGAAAGTCCCACCCAGGTGCATAACAGAAGTCTTGGAGGTGACACTTAATCCTATCTATATGATCAATAGTGAGTGGTTAAGATGCCCAGCTCCCTCACTGGAATGCCTCATTTTGATTCTTGACTCTAACACTGGACTCCAGCTTCTTGTTAATGCACACTGTGGGAGGCAGCAGTGATGGATCAAGCGGCTGCATTCCAGTCACCATTGAGGGAGAACTGAATTGTGTTCCTGACTTAATGGCTGCTGGCTGCTGGCTACTGGCTCCAGGCCTGGTGCAGCCCCAGCCATTGTGGGCATTCAGAGAGTGAACCAGTGAACGAGCAGATGGGAATTTCTCTCTCTCTCTTTCTTTCTTTCTCTCTCCCTCTCTCTCTCTCTCTCTCACACACACACACACACGTCTATCTCTTTCCCACAGAATAATTTTTTAATTAAAAAAAAAGATGTTTGGGGCTGGCACTGTGGTGGCAGAGGCTTAAGCCACCACCTATTATCCCTCACGAATGCTGATTTGAGTCCTGGCTGCTCCACTTCCAATCCAGCTCCCTGTTAGTGTGCCTGGGAAAGCAGCAGAGGATGGCGCAAGTGCTTAGGCCTCTGTACCCATGTGGGAGACATGAATGGAGTTCCTGGCTCCTGGTTTCAGCCTGGCCCAGGCCCAGCCATTGTAACCAACTGGGCAGGGAACCAGCAGGTGAAAGAGATATATATCTCTCTCTCTCATGCTCTCCCTCTCTCTCTTTCTCTCTCTAACTCTGCATTTCAAATAAATAAATCTTCTTCTTAAAAAAGAAGTAGTCTTTACCAAATATTACAAAGCTAGATTCAGAATGAAGAAAAATAGAAAACACTGGGAAGAAAATAATAAAATACAACAGGTCTGATGGGACTTTACTGGGTGTGACTAATATGATGGCTCCATGCTGTGAGAAAGATGCAGCCTTGGATGACCAGTATTCTTCATTCAATCCAGCACCTTCCACCAAAACGCCCTGAAATTATACCAGGCCAAAGAATAACATCTGAGCTACAACCAGGAGGGAAGAGCAATTTTCTTTTCTCAGTGGAGACAGTTTTTGGCATAGAGTAGTCTCTGAAGTTAGACATTATCCATCACATTCATAACCTTCTGTTTTCTCACTACCCTTGCATCTACAGTGAACGTTCATGAGTTCTCAGAAAAAAAAAAAAAAAAAAGATGAAGACTAAGCTCTGAGCACCTGCTAGGGTGATGATAAAGCAAAGTAATCACATGAACCTACATTACTTGAGTGTGGCCCAATGAAAACATTAGGGATTCATCCCAGGAAAAAAGATGAAAGTAGACTAGCTTTGGTTCAGAGAAAATCACGTCAAGAAGCAAACAAAAGCAGAAGGAACTATCTTATGGGCGGAAGACAGAGAGCTGGGATAGATGGTGCAAAAACTCCTGGGTTTCATCACAAGATTGTCTATACTACATTGCTTATTTTATTTATATTCAGGCAACATTTTTAATTTTAAAACTATCCAAGTTCAGCAGGGAATTAGAAAGGGCTATAAACAATAATCAAATAAAAAGATGTTCAAATTCATTCATATAAAGTAAATTCTAAAATAGTGACAAATTGATTAAAAGTATAGTATTATTTCACAATTCTTAATTTTTGATAGAGATTTAAAACAAAGTATGACAAAACACTGTATATGCAGCAAAAACTGATGTACACAAACATTTCTGTTTTATTTTTGTTTTTTTTTTCATTTTAGCTCTCACATATAAGGGAGAACACATATGAAATATCACCACACCACTGTCAGAATGACTATTATCAAAAAGATAGTAACAAATGCTGGTAACAATTGGAGAAAGAGAAATTCTTATACACTGTTGGTGGGAAAACAGTATGGAGATTTCTTTGAAAACTAGAAATAGACTTGCCCTATGTTCTAGCAATCCCACTTCTGGGTATATATCCAACATGAGCACACTGCATCAGAGAGATATCTGCATCATCATGTATATAGGAGCACTGTTCACGGGAATCAACCAATGTGTCCATTACGAGATGAAAGGATAAAGAAAATGTGATACACATATACAATTGAATAGTATTCAGCTATAGAAAAGAATGAAATTCTATCATTTGTATAAAAATGTTTGGAACTGAAGGACATTATGTTGAGTGACTAGACACAAAGACAAACAGCACATGTACTCTCTTATATGTGGGAGCTCTACTATATTTAATATTTTAATTGAAAATGTATTATTTTGTAATAGTATGAATAAATAAGCAAAAACATCCCAAATTTCTAGAGATAAGCATGTAAATTTTCTTAGTACAGTTTGAACATGTGAACTATATCCTGTATGTTTCATTGTGCCATTTAAGTGCAATCTCCATACACGAAGGCAAACAGTTCAATTTATAATTGTGTAATATTCTGAAAGACAAAATTTAGGAAGACCTTTTCTCTTCCTGACTCTGTATATGAAAAGTGAGCTAGGAGTTCTTAATTATTGAACTGAAATTTGAAACTATAAAAGAGTTTTACTACAAATTTCTTAAGATGTGCATGCAAAAAATATAAAGAGGATTTTGCTTTTGCTAGCTGTGAGGTCAGGGAAATGTAATACAGGTCACAGGCATAGGATTCATTTTTCCCACCCTTTCTTTAATTTATTCAGAAATTCCTCAGGAAAACGAGTTGCCCCCTACACACACACACACACACACACACACATACACACAGGAGAACTGTGTAGTATCAGACACATAACATTCACAAATGAAAATAAGATCTTCAATGCACATGAAAGTGTCTCTTGCCGGCGCCGCAGCTCACTAGGCTAATCCTCCACCTGCGGTGCCAGCACCCAGGGTTCTAGTCCCAGTTGGGGCGTTGGTTCTGTCCTGGTTGCTCCTCTTCCAGTCCAGCTCTCTGCTGTGGCCTGGGGAGAAAAAAAGAGCCATTTGCACCACAATATTTGTTGCAGCTCAATTCACAATAGCTAAGACACGGAATCAACCTAAATGTCCATCAACGGATGACTGGATAAAGAAACTATGGGATATGTACTCTATGGAACACTATAGGTCATTTACAACAAAATGGAGGAATCTGGAAAATATCATGCTGAGTGAAATAAGCCAGTCCAAAAAGGACAAATATCATATGTTCTCCCTGATTGATGGCAACTAAATGAGCATCTAAAATGATACCCATTGAAGTGAAATGGACACTATGCGAGACAATGACATGATCAGCCCTTGTCTACACTGTTGAGGAACAACTTACTATTTTATTCCTTTTAGTAGTAGTTGTTGTTGTTGTTGTTGTTGCTGCTGCTCTGTTTGTTCTACTTAATACCACTGGTTGAACTCTGTAATCAATACACAGTCATTCTTAGGCGTTTAAAATTAACAGAAAAGTGATCTCTGTTAAACATAGGAGTGGGAATAAGAGAGGGAGGAGATATATAGGTCGGCACATGCTCACTTGGACTTACCTCCAATGGTGGAACTAGAAATGTGCCAGGGGATTTCAACTCAATCTTACCAAGGAGGCAGGTACCAATGCCAGCGCACTTGGTAAAGTGATAAGTTTAAATACACAACCGATCAAAAAGATAGGGTAAGTGTCAAAGAGATTTCACAAATAAGATCAGTGTAAGCAAATAATGAAGGATAGAATTAAAAAGGAGAGAATGATCCTGCAGGGGAAGCAGGACACACAGCAGACTCATAGAATGGCAGCACTCCAGCCTCAGAATCAACCCTTGGGGCATTCAGATCTGGCTAAAAAGCCCATGGGAGTCTCACAGGCATGGAAAGCCATGACACGGTGGCAAAAACAACCTAAATGAAAGATCCTGGTGAACAAGACCCCAGCAGAAGGAACAGGCCATCAAGGAGGGAGGCGCCTTTCTCTGAAGGGAGGAAGGAACCTCCACTGTGATAATGGCCTTGACTCAACAAGTTCAGAGTTGGTGAACTCAAGGGGCTTCCATAGCCTAGACAGCTTATGGCAAGAGCCTCGGGTGATTGCTGACGTCATAAATAAGAGTGCCAATTGTTAAATCAACAACGGGAGTCACTGGGTACATGCTCCCCATGTAGGATCTCTGTCCTTAATGTGTTTTACTATGAAACTTAAAGACAACACTACTAGTCAAACAATACCCTATACCTTGTGCGGTTGTGTGAGGGCAGCCTGTTGAAATCCTTGCTTAGTGTATACTAAGTTGATCTTCTGTATACGAAGGTAATTTTTTTTTTTTTTTTATAGGCAGAGTGGACAGTGAGAGAGAGAGACAGAGAGAGAAAGGTCTTCCTTTGCCGTTGGTTCACCCTCCAATGGCCGCCGCTGCAGCCGGCGCACCGCGCTGATCCGATGGCAGGAGCCAGGATCCAGGTGCTTTTCCTGGTCTCCCATGGGGTGCAGGGCCCAAGCACCTGGGCCATCCTCCACTGCACTCCCTGGCCATAGCAGAGAGCTGGCCTGGAAGAGGGGCAACCGGGACAGAATCCGGCGCCCCGACCGGGACTAGAACCCGGTGTGCCGGCGCCGCAAGGTGGAGGATTAGCCTATTGAGCCACGGCGCCGGCTTACGAAGGTAATTGAAAATGAAACTCGATGAAGGGCGGGATGGGAGAGGGAGAGGAGAGGGCCGCGGGAGGGAGGGAGGTTGGGGCAGGGGGAAGCCACAACAATACAAAAGTTGCACTTTGTAAATTCACATTTATTAAATAAAAAAAATTTTAAAAAGAAAGTTGTATGACAAGACACAGTTGGAAACATTTTATAGACCCCAATAATAGATTATTAGTATTATGATAAAGGCACAGTTCTCAGTAATCCTGAATCTTTATTGCTCACTCCCATTGTCTCAAGAGCACCTAAATAAGCTATTTCTTACAGATATAATAACAACTACTTTTACAGTCTTCACTCAAAACATTTTTTCTTGGGCTATACAGGATGCAGCTCTTTGGAGTTAAACCTTGAAACACTGGAAATCTGAAATAAAGAAGAAAGTGTTAACATGTAAGAAAAGAAAATGAGGGTATCCAGGGATTATCTTTTAAATAAATTATAGAATTTTAACAGCATTTAAATCAAATATTGACATATTAAGCCATTTTTTCTTTGCATGACCATCATTTTCATGATGTGAGAGTATAACGCAGCCAAAAAACTCAAGTTATTCCTTGAATGATCAATAGCATTGAAGCCAGAATGCTTTTTTTATGTGTTTTATATCATTAGTGTTCTGATGTGTGCTGTGTTTCACTCTGCTTTGTTTAAGATGTGTTGGCTGATCTAGTATTTGTAGCAGGGCAAAAGCAAAGTATACATCAAAAGTTCTTAGATTAGCATGACTATATTAACTTTCATGTCACTTGAGCCTAAACTTGAATGTTATGGATGAAACTCAGATTGTTATTCTGTTATGCTTATCCTCTTTGCTATAATCCCATTCTCTACATAGTTTATGGAAGGGAGAGTGATCCTGGGTGTCACCTTGGTTAGTCAGATCCAGTAATAAATTCACAAAGAGCAAAAATGGCCTTGACTGACAGAAACGTACAGATGCTGGGAGACAGCAGAGTCATCCTCCCACAACCAGGCACCATGTTCCTCCCTATAGGAGAGTCCAATCCAGTAAAAGTGTTGACTGTGGTTCCAAAAACTCTGCGTAAAGACAGAAAAACGTGTCACCCGAATTTTAAACTACTCTGGAATAACATACTTTTAAGACAGTGTTCAGAATAAGATTCAGCCTTCTATCACACCAACTGAAAACGTCTCTAGATTCTAATTTAAAAGGTATAGTCACATGTCTCAAATTATCAAAAAACTCTTCCTTCATAGGGTATCAATGATCAAATTTTATTCAAAATTAACAATAACTTGAAGGGTAAATTGCATGAATATAATTTATGCAACCTACACAGCATTAAATTCTTCAAGCGGAGAGTGTTTTCATAAGAACCGAATAATTTTTATGAACACTCTCTATATCAGTTCTATATTATAAACCCAGAAAGATGAAAAAAATTATAATTATAAAGAAATTATAAACTCTATTGGAAGAACTGAAAATTATTCTCATTTACTTGGTTCTTTGAACAAAATTGGTATAAATGATGATTTATTATTTTTTCTTTGATTTATCCCTGAAACATTTCTTGTACTTTATATGCTATCACTCTTGATTTTTATCACTATGATGTAAATCTTTGAGCAATTTATGTACATCTTATAATGTTTCAAGGCATGTGTAATCCATACATCATTAATTCAAATATAACCATCCATTTACTACTGAATTAAAGACTTGAATCAAAGTATTCAATTCACCAAGAGTCTATTTTTCTGGAACAAAGAAAAAGTAGGGATTATGGTAACAAATATAGAGAATACAAAAAATCTAATGTATATGAGTAAAATTAATATCTTTGGATTTGATTATTGTTTATAGCCCTTGTCTATATTCCTGCTGAACAGTGATTTTATACTTTTGGACTTGAACCGTTTGTTTAGTGGAGCATTATGCCTGTGACTAAAGCAAATTCAAAATATGTTATTGGAGGAGAGAGTGAGGGAAAGAGGGAAGGGCAGAGGGAGGAAAGTATCGTTATATTCTCAGAATTTTATCTATGAACTGTATGAAATCTGCTTCATATTAGTAAATAATACATCCTTTTTTAAAAATAAAAAGGGGGAAACTAGAATTTACTACATGCCAGTTCATCTCTGTTTTGGAGCTTAAGTAGACTGGAATTCTGAACAGCACAGAAATGCCTACTGTCTTCCCAAGTTCTCGCTTCATTAGAAATGAAGTAACAGTTGCACTGATACCCAATCCACCCGTCTGGACAAGAACAGCAATCAGGGCCTAAGAGAAAGAAAAATAGAACAAAACTGGTGACATTGGCAATTTCCATATTTTTAATGCTACTTAATCATTCAAAAATAATTTGCTATTTATTTTCTTCTACAAATACTCCTTGAGAATCACTATCCATATCATATATAAAGTTTGGAAGACAATACTGTGACACTTTCTCCTCACAGAGATTATTTAAAGGTAAATTTGGAATTATATCTCATCCAATCATTTATTAATTCTATTTAATGATAATTTAGGTAAATAAATGGAAGAACATCATTGTGTGTAAATAGCACACATCAGAATATAAAATGAAAGACAATTGGAAGAAAATTTTGGGAAAACATCCCAAAGCTGAATAGTATAAATAGGAGATAACTAAATGAAAGAGAGATTAAAAGGAGAAAACTGTTTCAGCATATTCTCTGAATCAGAAAAGAACATGAGAGCAGGGTTTGGTGCAGCAGTTAAGTCACCACTAGTGACACCAGCATCTCAAATCTGAGTGCCAGGCTCCAGTCTTTGCTTCTCTGCTTCTGATCCAGCTTCCTGATAATGTTTACTCTGGGAGGTATCAAAGGACAGCTCAAGCACCTGTGTCCCTGCTACCCATGTTAGGACACCCAGATGGCGTTCCAGGCTCCTGACTTTGACCTGGCCCAGCCCTGCCTGTTGCAGGAATTTGAGGCATGAACCAGAGAATTAAGATCTCTCTCCCTTTCTCTGGTTTTCAAATGAAAATAAATCAATATTTTCAAAAGAAAAGAATATGGTACATTGGGATAGTTCTCTTTTTTTAAGATATGTTGAAGCCAGCATTATGGTAAAGCAGGTTAAGCCACCTCCGACAGTGCAGGCACCCCATATGAATGCTGATTTGAGTCCTGACTGCTCCACTTTCAATCCAGCTTCCTACTTTTGCACCTGGGAAAGCAGAAGATGATGGCCCAAGTGCTTGGGCCCCTGCCACCACAAGGGAAACCTGGATGAAGCTCCTGGCTCTGTCTCTCCTTCTCTCTCTCTGCAACTCTTCCTTTCAAACAAAACGCAGCTAATTTACTCCTCAAATGGCCAAAACAGCCAGGGCTGAGTCAGGCCAAAGCCAGGAGCCAAGCACATCTCTGGGTCTCCCATGTGGGTGGCAAGGGCCCAAACAATTGAGCCATCTTCTGTTGCTTTCCTATGTGTATTTTAGCAGGGAGCTGGACTGGAAGTAGAACAGCTGGAAGTTGAACCAGCACCAATATGGGATGCTGGCACTGCAGGAAGTGTTCTGACCCACTGTATACAATGCTGGCTCCAAGATAATTCTTATATGCTTGGATAGTTTATTTTTCAAAAATGAAGACAAATAAACCAATTCTGTTTAAGTCTAACCAGATAGTTTACCAGTGATGCTCTCTTCCACATATCATATTCTCAGTAATAAAAGTTGTGGCACATGGTATACTCTCAAATCTTTGCCGATTGAATGGTACTGAAGTCCTTGAGATAAGATACAAATATAGTGCTATATGATCACAGAGTACAGTATGACAGTTTGAAGGCAATTTGAAATGTATATATTAATGTATTCAAAAAGCTGAACTTTGAGCTGGCTTTCACTAGATAACTAAGGTTTATAATTGCAGATCTGGGCACTATATTCTGAGTCATAGAAAAGTACAATGAAAAGGTATGAATACACAGGCACATGTAATTAGAATTTGCAGTAATATTTATTGTAGCCTATTTTTTATTTGTTACTTCATCATGAGCACCCATATAGGAAAAATATCTGTCACTTCTGGCTACTGTTTTTTTGATTAGTTAATTATGATAATGATGCACAGTCAGTGTAATTAATCATTGGTACATTAGGGAACAATGAAATGAGGCCATCCTCCAGTTAGTACACAAATTGTATTACTAAGTATAACATTTCGTCACCCTCTTATGTATAATAGAAATTGTCTATTTAATTATCTTATTTATCCTCTATCAATCATAAGGTTTCCCAAAGTATGGAAAGTATGGAGCCTACCTTCCTGGAGTTCCATCATGGGCTCTGAAGAGAAGGTTGTCTGATTACTCTGCTTAGCAAATGCTACAAGAAGTTATTAAAAATTCACTTAATTAGTTATTGGCTTGTGAAATTATGAATACTTTACATTAGTAAAGTGGAATCTTTATTATTAAGTGATTTCATCATCGTTAAATCTTTATGTTGACTCAACAAGAAAAACTTACAGTTTTTCAACACAATTCCCAAAGTAGCCATCAGCAAAACACATATTACTCCCAAGATCCCAGAAATGAACCTCCACAGAGTCGTGTGAGAAACTGTAGAGAAAAACAGACAAGGTAATGACTTCACTGGGTAACACAGTCACCTTGCCACAGAAACCACAAAAAATGAAAACATTCCACTCAGAACTCCAACTAATGCCGAGATTTTTATGTAATGCATCTCATTCTTCAGTGGGATAATCCACACATTTACTTTGCTTTCTGCTCTTTCTCAGAAGGTAAATTCACCATTTCTTTTGTTAAGTTGGCACAGAAATTTAGACATCTGTAGGAAGAAGAAATCAACAGCACCAAGTTCTATCTTTTGGGTTTACTAACAGATATTTACTTCATTCTCTCAATAAAAATCACACGATAATGTGACTCCCATTGGGTAGCAGAGAAAACTTGGGATCCAATAATAATGTTATTTTGTCAAGTTATCAAAGCCGGTAAGTATCAAAGTCACAAATCAGATGAAAAGTGTCACACATTCCATCACTGTCACAATAACACCCCTTGAAGTGTGCCCTCTCCCAACCTGAGCTCTGCTCAGGTACACGTCCAGCTGCTGAGAGGTTTGTAGAGGGAGTACAGGGAAGAGAAGACCTAGGCGCATTCTGGACCAGGTGTGATGAGTAAACAACAGATGGGTAACTCCTTGGGCCTGGGTTCACATACCTGCCATGGGAACTGATGTTCCAAGCTCCGTGCAGTGCAGGCACAGGTGTGTTTGTTTAAGAACGGCGCAGGATCATGCAGCTGAGCTGGAGGCTATGGAATCCGAAAGTTGAGAATGTAATATAAAAAGAAAAAGAAAAATCGTGTATTTAAGTGATGTTCTTGAATCATTGGTGATACTTACATATAGGATGAACAAGAAACAGCAAAATCACAAGTGCTTGAAATGTTCTGGGAACCACAATACAGGAAATCCTCAGCACACAATCATAATGTGAACTCTGCCTAGAACAAAAGAAGGTGAAAAAGAGCTTTTTAAAATGTTTGAACATCAAAGCTATCTTACAAAGCTATTTGGAAGTGGTAAAAGGCAAATCAAAGGTAAATCTAGCATAATAAAATTCCAAACACAACTTTCTTTTCTTTTAATACTAAAAAGTATTTATGATTTAATTTGTGCTAAACACAATTTAAAGCACCTGGCATCAGTTAGTTTATTTGCTTCTGAAATGATGTAAAGATACATAAACATCCTTGTGTTACCAAGGAGAAAACTTTTTTTTTAAAAGTTGTGTTTACTTATTTGAAAGTTACAGAGAGCAGGGCAGAGAGAGAGAAAGACGGAGAGAGGGATCTTCCATCCGCTGATTCATTCCTCAGATGGCCACAATAGCCGGGGCTGAGTTAGGCTGAAGCCAGGCTCCAGGAGCTTCACCCAGATCTACCATATGGAAGCAGGGGTACAAACTCTTGGGACATATTTCACTGTTTTTCCCAAGCCATGAGTAGGGAACTAGATCAGAAGTCGAGGTTGTTTTTTTTTTTTTTAATGCTATTTGTTGAACTCTGTACATAGTGTAGGGTTAAACTTGTGTGTATAAAGTTAACTGAAAACAAATCTCAGTAAAAAAAAAAAAAAAAGAATGGGAATAGGAGATGAGGAGAAAAAGGAGTGGAAGAGAGGGCAGATGGGAGGGTAAGGTAGGAAGAATCACTATATTCCTAAAGTTGTATTTACGAGATGCATGAAGCTTGTATGCCTAAAATAGAAGGTTTCTGGAAGAAAAAAAAAAAGGAAAAATATGAAAAAAAAGAAGTGGAGCAGTTGGGACTCAATCCAGAGCACATATGGGATGCCGGCCTTACAGGCAGAGGCTTTACCCACTATGCCACAACACCAAACCCAGTGAAAAAAATGAGGCATAATAGAGCTAAGTATCTTGCCCAAGGATGCTGAAGTTTGAAAAGCCGGCAGGCTTTCTCCAGGCACAAATCAAGTCCATCTCTCTGTACCTACATATGTTGCAGAGTTTCCTTTCTTTTCTTTAGCATCAAGTGGTCTATATTTCCATGTCTCATTAACCCAGTCATGGCCAGCAAAAGTCAAAAAGGTTGAATCAGAATGGCTTCCCATCACTGTTCTACACACAGACCAGCACCCCTGCCTGCACACCATGTCTGCGTCAGCAGGTCTGACCCAACATCTCAGAGCCTTATTAGAAGTTTCTTTGGACAAACTGTTCCCTTAAAGACCTTTGAACATGACTGTAGCTGGTCTATAATTCTTATTTTCACTAATATGCTATCATAATTGCTTACTGTGTTATTTCACTCAGATAATATACTGAGACTTCAGTGTAGCTTTTTGCCCTCAGAAAAGTAAACCTATTAGTGAGAATTTCAAATGTGGAATAGACAGGTAGACTGAGAGTCTTGAGAGCAGGGACTCTGATCCATGATTTAGTTTCTGGAAATATGATCTATCATTCCTTCCCCTGTATAAAGAGACTCCCAAATTATGTAATTTTGTAAACCTTATGTAAAAGATGTTTTTTCAACCAGAAAAGAAAACAGCAGGACTATGATTTGATTTCTCAATTGCCATGACGTCATAAGTTTTCTATCTTCTTAATTTACATTGTGTGCATGGAGCTGTTTTCACTAAATTACCAAATCTGCTAAAATATAAATCAGCTGGAGGCTGTAAACATGAAAATTCCTCCATGCAAATTTTGTGCAAATCCTAGTTATCTGAATTGGTAAGTGATCCTTTGCTTACTTAAAATCTATTCTTCATTGGGTTTTTACTTCTCAGTCGGTGAATGAAGATAAAACAAACGAGACAAGGATTGTTGATTTTGAAAATTAAGAACAACTTTCAAATAGAGGTGGTTCTGTTGGTTTTGAAAGCATAGTAATAATCCCTACTGTGCATTCTGTCACAAATTCATAGTCTCAAAACAAATCTAAATGCAAAATCCTGAATTCCTATTTAGCCAAGGCAATTTTACATAGGACAAAAAAAAAAGAAAAAAAAGAAAAAGCAAAGTTAGTCAACTTTTTGGTGCAACTCTGTCCTACGCAAAACCTTTGTCAAGGTTTGCTGCAGTGAGAATTCAGACTGAAATCCTGCTGAGATGTTCAGCTGCACTCCATCTATATCTAATATGTTTTTGATACATCAGGTGCCCTTCCAAAAGATGCACGTCTCTGCAGGACCTCTGCTCCGATGTCTGCTGCAGGCAGCTACTTTTCCACTTCTAATTTCCTTGTGCCGTTGCTCAAAGCAAGTGCTGACTTCAATAACTGAACATCTTTCAAAGAGCAGGGAAAGAAATGAACAGCAAAGTCTCTTTCCTTACCTGAGAATTTATAGCTAAAATACTCAGAACATAGTTATCCATATAAGAGAAAACCTGAAATGAAAATTTATATTTTATTTCTTCTTTTTGGAAAAAATTTTACATTCTCTAAATGGAAAGAAAATTGCTAGCAGCAGGCTGCAAATTATTCTCCTTTTAAGACAGATGGAGGAAAAAAGAGAGAGAGAAGGAAGGATCCTGAGAAAGAAATAAACGATCATTCTGACACAGTAAAACCTTCTTGTGAACATGCTAATGGCAAACCTACTACAAAACACCAGTGGCTTTTGCTTATCAAAATCCTTATCTATGGGATATTTTTGCCAGGGTATATCTTCTTAATCAAAAAAATTATTTTTATTTTACTTTTTAATCTATTTATTTTCATTTTATTTCAAAATCAGAGTTAGACGGGTAGAAAGAGACCTTCCAACCAGTGGTTCACTCCCCAAAAGCCAGCAACAGCTAGGGCTTGACCAGATCAAAGCCAGGTGACTGGAATTGCAACCAGATCTCCACATGGGTGGCTGGGACCCAGGTATTTGAGCCATCACCTGCTGCTTTCCGGAATGCACACCAGCAGGAAGCTGGATCGGAAGCAGAGGAGCTGGGACTTGCACTAGGCACACTCCACTATGGAATGTGAGCATTCCAAGTGGTGATTTAATGTCCACTCCCAGTAGGATGTGTCGATGGTCTAAAATAATTTATGGCAAAAACATACAGTAAAATTAGAATCTATTGGATGATGGAGCATGGCTTCCTGGAAAATGACACCAAACAAAATGGATATGCATCATGCCCAAATCATCTCTTTTGTGTATGTGGTGCAACCACAAATATCACAAAGCATCTCACATGTTAATCTGCTAATCTGGGTCAGAGTGTGTCCTACAGTAGAAAGAAAGGGCTTAGTAGCTATATGAATAAACGTAGATCTTCCATGACTCTGTCTGTACCTCGTACTTATCATATCACTGGGATATTATTAAGCTTAGGGCAGGCTTTTGGTGGAGCAAATAAGCGGCCACTTGGGATGTCCACATCTTACATAATAGGGCTTGGATCCCAATCCTGGCTCTGCTCTGGTTCCAGCTTCAGCAATAGGTGGCATCTCAAATAGCTTGGCTCTGACACCCACCTTGGATCTCTAGATTTGAGTTCCAGGCTCTTGGCTTCAGGATGGCCTGGTTACAGATGTTGTAAGCATTTGGGGAGTGAACAAGCATCTGGGAAGGAGATTCTCTCTCTCTCTCTCTCTGTCCTTCCTTTCTCTCTTTCCTGACTCCCTCCCTCCCTCCCTCCGTCCCTCCCTCTTCTCTCAGTCTTTCAAATAAAATGGAGGAGGGAGAAAGCTTGATACTGGATGAAATTGCTGATGTATAAATACTCCAGCTTCTTTTGCTTCTCTAGTATGCAGGAAGTTTATGGAGATGCATATTTCAAGAAAAAATGCAAATGTGTTCTCCATCCCCAGGCTGAGTAAAAATCCCCTGATTTGAGGGAAAAGAGAACAAATCTATTGGGGTAATGATAGGGGAGGGAGGAAGAGGATGGGAGAGATTGGAGAGGCAGGACTGAGCGTTACTGACCTGCAGGGACCACACTGTGAGAGGAGAGGCTGCAGTGGGTGGCACTCATCTGTCAGTCAAAGCAGCACTTCCCCTCCTCAGTGCCCTGAGTCACTGTGGGAGTTGAATAAATATCTGAAGAAAACCAACCCTCTAAATGATTGAGTATTTGTCATTTCCTGCTTCAGAGAGGTATGTTAACTGTTCTTCTTGCTGTTATCTGGAGATAATCTCCTTTTGAAAGACATAATATATAGACCTACCATATGACCCAGCCATCCCACTCCTGGGAATTTACCCAAAGGAATTGTAATCAGCATATGAAAGAATTATCTGTACCCCATGTTTATTGCAGCTCATTTCACAATAGCTAAGATACGGAATCAGCCCAGATGTCCATCAACAGAAAACTGGCCAAAGAAATTATGGTATATATACACTATGGAATACTACACAGTGGTAAAAAAAATCCTGTCATTTGCAAGAAAATGGATGTAACTGTAAACCATTACACTTAGTGAAATAAGCCAGACTCCCCCTAAAAAAAATACCACATGTTGTCCATGATCTGCGGTAACTAATACAGTACCTAAAAGGTAATCTATGAGTGAAATTGACACTTTGAGATGCAATGATTTTTGAATAGCTCTTGTCTTGACTGTTGAGGAACAGTGGTTTTAAATGGAAATAATCTTTGTAAAAAATAAGAATGGGAATAGGAGAGGAAAGAGAAAGTCTGGCAGTGTGGTGGGAAGGAGGTAGGGTGCAAAGAATGACTATGGTCCTAAAATTTGTATTTATGAAATACATGAAGTTTGTATACCTCAAATAAAACGTTTATTGCTAAAATAAATAAATAAGTGTGATTAAACAAAAAAGAAAGACATAACATTCACACAATTCAACACCATCTAGGCACTCCTGTTCCTTGCTGCTTTCAAGACTCTTCAAGCC